GTAAATTGTTACATATAGGCACATAAACATTGTTTTGGTTATAAAGTAAATGTTCTAGATTGCTTGTCGCTATCTTTGTAGTGTTTTACTTACCAATAAGTAGGTAGTTTGAGATGAGGATCGTACCTACATACTCAGTGGGGTGCTTTAGGGGATACCTATAGCTAGCAGCGGACTGTTTGATAGAACAAAAAGTTTGATAATGATGAAGTTCTGGTAGGGTTTTGAGTGTAGGTAAATGAAACAATGCTTTGTTTTTGCAAGTACATTTATTTTATTGTACTTAAATTCAATTTATTCTTAATATTACTTCATCTAAGAAGGGGGCAGGTCGGGTAATATCCTCATGGCGAGCATAACTAAGGTACCAAATAATGCTCATCACATGTGAGCAGCATCCCACGGTTCTTAATCCTACAATACAATTACAACAATAACTCCTGATTGCGTCCCGACCATTCATGTTTGTTTCTGCAACTATAAATACAAAATAAGTTTTAGCAGAAGAATGGCGGGACTTTATTTTAGCACGAAGCAACATTGGGTTTGTTCCCTCTAAGCCACGTATTCTCTCTCGGGATACCTCTAATGTGTATATTCCATGAAAGCGGAAATGCTCACCTACATATGAACGAGCCTGGCGAATTTGGTATACACCACATGCAAATAGTATCAATTCCTCCATGGATAGCCGCGGAAAAGATAGGGTTGTCGCATCTATGGGTACAAACCAGGAACCGCGCCTGTTTAAATTATGTTCCCTAACTAACTCGGCTATAGTGTTGGTTAAAAACAGGCGCTCATATATAATTGAAACAAACTGCTCTGCATGTATATTTTCTGTGAATGGTGGAGTAAACGCATTTTAGCACGCAGAGCAGCTGCTATTTTAAAATCTGTCATTAGATTGCGACAACCACGGTTAAAATATTCATGGCGGAATATTTTGAAGTCCCTTTTAAAACGGCCATTCACAGCTTCTACTACCCACCTGTTTATAGTTACACAACGTGATCTGTTGGCTTCAAGAGTGGATAGCTGTGATTGGCCGTCTTCTTTAATTTCAGGCATATGGCCTATATATCCTTTCTCATGCAGACTATCCATGCAGTCACGAAATCCTCTATCTACAATAAAAACATCATTTTCTCTATAAAAATTATTGAATTCCGTTTCGTTTAATAAATCATTCATTATGGTCGCATCATTTGTAGTGGCACTATATGGTCCACGTACATCTATGATATATCCATCAGAGGTACAGAGCATAAAAGGCTTTATTAAGTTCCTATATTTATGTAGGGAATATGTGTCTTTTTGGAACAAGTAATTACTGCTTTTTTGTGTATATATATATGTTGCATCGCTATTGTAATTGCAGGTTTTTGTTCAGCTGGCGCATCAGGCTCACCAAAAATGTGATTGGCAATGTTGGTAGTTTTTGCTGCCACCTGCTCTCTTCTTAAATGAGAAAATCCAAGAAATTGTGGAACATAGTCTGTTAACAAGATATTTCTTGCTACAGACATTAATGTTTCTATGGTCCTTCTTGGTACTTGAAATAAGCACGACAATCTGTCTCCTGAATCTCCAGTCCTTAACTTGCACAATAAGGCTGTTAATGCAAAACTACCCCGATGCATATTCCTCAGCCTAGGTGTTGCTTCTAATATTTGTTGATGTTCTTGTTTACTTATGCCTATAAAGTACTGCACTTGGTTATCAGGGTAGTTTTGAATATTTTCATAAGAAATGTTATGAAGTCCTTCCATTAATATAAAAATAATCTCTTCTATTTGTATGGAAGTAAAGTAATTAAGGCTGTATTCAGCAGAATACAGATTTTCATAATTTGCCTCCTGTCTATGCAGAGAACAAATACGAGCACCTCTTGGTATAAAATATTGATACCTAATTAATACTTCTCGTCTGGTTTCTTCAGGCACAACATTTCGCTCTGGTTCCATGCATTCTTGGAAAATGCAATGCTTGGGTGTTTCAGCCGCTCTTCTTATGTTGGGCAACACAATATGCTGGGGTCTTTCTTGTGGTTCTTCTGGAACATGTAAGCTCAAATCTCGAGCTTGGTCCCAGCAAATTCCACAAACTTCATTCATGGATGACATCTGTAAATAATTAATTTCATGAGATGGCCATTGATATCAAAAGAGTCAATACTATTATATATGAAATACAAATTAAACACTAAGTTCAATAGACATAAGTTGTCGCCAACATGTTCAAGCATAAAAGAAACACAAACAAGAAAGATGTAGGGTACAGTGAGATTTCTGATTGAATTTGGGCAACCCAAGCTGGAGAATGGTTCTTGAGATACTATATGTATGGATAATAATTGGTTTCCTTCACCTTACAGAAAACCTTTACCAAATAGCTATGTTGTGTTTCTATGAGTGAATAAGTTTATTGCTCATTGGAGTAAAGGAGAAGGGCTCTTTGTTGTTAGTAGAACCAACCTCATGAGTATCCCAGGGTTAGCAACATTTAAGTGTAAAGCCCTTTGCATGGCAAGTGTTTATAAGCTAGTTACTGTAAATATATTATCTCATATATACCTGCTGATGCTCCAACAAACGGGCAATATTGTCGGAATTCCACTCTTCATCTGATGTTGTGGTGGACAGACTCCGTCCACATACAGCACACATTAAAACAGAATAATCACCATCCACATGATCGGGTGAAGGGGGTTGAATGTCTTCAACTGGTGGAGCGATCCTCGTTCTTCTAGCTCTTAGCCAACATGGCACACAAGCTTCATCTTCAGAACAAAGCTAAAACAAAAATATAAATAAATAAAAACTCACTCAAACATGCATGATAATAGTGGGAAATAATTAATATTATTTTATTTCTTAGTTAGTTTATTTTTTAGTTTAAATGAAATAAAAATATTTAATAATAATTATAGTAGGTATACCTCTCGTGGTTGGATCCAAGTAGAAACTGTATTAGCCATTCTTTGTTCTTCTTCATTGGCCCCTTCAATCAAAATCCTACGTCGACTAATTCTAAGTATGGATCGTCCGCATACAACACATACTTTTTGATGGCCAACTCGTCTTCTCGGAATATTATTAGATGAAATTGAATGAGTAGCTAGCTGCCAGCATGGATGACAAATATGGTCAGCAGGTGTTATCTGGAAATAATGAAATTATTTGGAGTACTGTTCAACATTATATACTTTCCTCTCCTTTTCAGTGGTCATACTATCAGACTAATACCTATTCTAACACTAAGGAGAACCAAGATACATGTAAATAACAAATTGTATGCATACACATAACCTTATTTTTTAGTTTTTAGAATATTATATACATATTTAGTGTGGTATGGTGTGGTTTAAATGATCAGGACTACTTTTCAACACGTAAAACTCATTACAGAGTTCGTCACTAGCCCACTCATATGTGGAATGTTATTCGTAAACTACTTACGTCTCTAGGATATGTCCACAGTCGAATAGTATTGACGACATCTTCACTCTCATCGGATAAAACGTGCCTTCTTATTCGGGACAAGCGAACGTTGCAATTAACACATTGCAAACTCGACATTTTAATTATAGCACGTACACACACAACACAGTTAATATAGCGTCCTTTCGCGAAACTACTATCAAGAGATAGAGTACGGAGGAGCAGATGCTCAACTCAACGTAAAAACAGCCAGATAATTCGCTAAATTGCTCAGATGTAGTCACAAACTACAATCCAAAACAACAGCAAAGAACTGAACTGAATTTAACTGAAAGACAGATTGTCTTTACCTGTCAATAAATAATTGCCATATGAACAAAAAAAATATTGATGACGAAAACATTCCTATCATTAAATCGTTAACCATTATGATTTATGCAACAATTATGCATTCTTAGGTATAATATATGTTTTTTTAATTATGTGTTTAATTATATGTAGTGTTATTTCTATTTCTAAATAATTAATTATCATTTCGATATCTGTGCTATTTTACATGTGGCAACTTCTAAAAACAACTGCGTTCAGTTTACGATTATATTACGTTTTTTTATTAAAATCTTTTTTATTGATATTATTAATTAATCCCAAGTTCTAAAAATAGTACACTAACAGGAAAGTAAATAACTTAGTTGCCTTAATATGTGGTACAAATTCTATAACAAAACAACAAAAAAAGTATGCGGTACGAAATCTGCCATTCACCTTTTATGTTCATCTTGACTCAATTTATGTAGAATTGTAGATTCCCTTTATGCATACGTATGTATGTAATTACTCTAAGAAAGCCACGGTGGTTATTCTGACAAGTTGGATTGTCAAAATAACCACCGTGGCTTCCTTAGACGCATATCAATTTTAAGCAATTTTTAAAAAAACTGAGAGTTCATACTTAATTGACCCGAAATTAAAAAGTTACTAATTGCATTCCTTTAGAAAAAAATTCAATGTATTCGCAATTGAAAAAAATATAGACTAATTTACGACGTTTACTAGACAAACATTGTAATTGGGATGAATCAAAGTGCATCGAACAGATGGTACTTGTGCGGATAGGTACCCACCCAACCCCTTTTTCGAATGCACAATTCTGCCCACGTCATTTTTAAGAGAGGGTCTTTTGGAAATCTAAAATAGTCTCGTAAGGAGCGGTTGTGCTTGCGTGTTCAATTTTAAACCTAATTAGTAACATCTGAGGGTTGACTTTAAAAAAAGTAATGTCGTGCCTGTCACATTTCGATCATTACTACGATTTTCAGCTTTCCGTCCTTTCGGCAATTTTTCAAACAGCACTTACTACGACGGAAACGATTCTTGTAATGAAAAAATCGATTCCGTAAACAGTTTTTATAAAAGCATAAGATTTTTAAATCCAATACCTCCTGCGCAGAGGGGAATAATCATGCGAGGCGAGTCCATTGGGTTGAATGGTCTAAGAACACATGGCAAATCCCGAGTGTGAGTTCTATCTTCTTTATTTATTATTCCTTTTTTCAGTCAAAATTCACGATTCAACCCGAAGGTGACCTGAATATAATCGAGTGCACTGGACTGGGGCTCATTAACAAGAATATCCCAACGGAGTGAACATTTTGAAGCCGAGAAGCTTGTTTGTTTTTTGAAGCTGTTGTTTTTGAATTGTTGAGTTTTATAACATAAAGCTTAACATAAAATTAATATTTTGTTACTTGCGGTTGAGCAAAAAAGCAGATTAGAATGTAAAATGATGTATTTTCCACCTGGCTGCGGAGAGATTGCGGCTCAGTGCGTTACTGCAACCAAACGTTTCCAACTTCTTTACAAAATATTTCTGTGAAGTGGTATATCATTTATTTAAAAAACAAGTGAATGAAATTTTTTCGAAAGCACCAATGAATATTGTTTAAATTAAATATGCTTGCTGGCCACATTTAGATAGGCACCCTAGCAAAAATGTATTCCCCACTTATATATTAAAATTAGATGGTGATTAAAAACAACATGAACGCAGTAATCTTACAGCCGGATATTAGACTATTATAGATTTTGTAACTAACAATTGCATTACACAATGTAATTCGAATTTGCTGCTTTTACTTTTAGATTGTGTAATGTTACAGAACTTGTTGTAATTTTAAGTTTATTAAATTTATTCTATTTCTATATTTAAAAATAAAAATTTACTAATAAATTGTTTATTTTGCTATAAAAACTTGTGATCTCATTTACAGCTTACCTCATAAACTTTATTTTTGTAGCAAAAAATATCTTGATAGCTCAAAAACTATTTTAAATTTGAGTCTATATACCTACTTGTTAAATGGTTATCCCGCCATACATAATTTTATTGGAATACGTTAAGTTTAATAGTTTGTTTGTTATTACATACTGCTTTTATCTCATTCGAATTGCGTGCAAAACTACGGTTTGTAGTAGTCAATTATGTATATATATTTGTGTTAATATATTAATCGATTTTTACGTTAGGTACATATCGATGCCAAAAACCATTCTCAAATAATCCTAAAATCGAGTACTTTTCATACCTACCCATATTATTATAGAATGTAAGCTAAGATATAAAATATTAAAACATATTTGTATGACAAACTTGTATACACGTTTGAATAAATGTAATATTTTATAACCATATTTTGGTATTAAACAATCTGGATCCCAATACTAGTGTAGGTCTAGATGGAGTTAGTATTATAGTATATCAAAAGTTTAGTAGTCCAAAATATAACTAATGGCCTAAATCGATTGTTAACTGAAGGAATTTTTCCGGACAACCTCAAAATAGGCAAAATCACTCCAATTTATAAGTCTGGTACGAAATCTAGTCCGGAAAATTACCGTCCAATATCAGTTCTACCTACACTATCCAAAATTTTAGAGAAAATTATATACAAGAGATTAGACGAATATTTAACTGAAATCAACTTTATGTATGACAAACAGTATGGTTTCCGATCTAAATCTAGTACCCTGGGAGCAACAATTGACTTGATAACTACAATAAAAACAATTATTGATCAAAGACAAGTAGCACTGGGAATATTTGTGGACCTAAAAACGGCTTTCGACACAGTTAGCCATAATTTGCTCTTAAAAAAACTACAAAATATTGGCGTCACTGGAAAAGTATACAAAATGATGGCATCATATTTGAGCAACCGTTACCAAGTAGTAAAAATTAGATCCATTCAAAGTAAACCCAAACTCTTAACATGTGGCGTGCCTCAGGGTGGTATTCCTAGTGTATATCAACAACATAAACCAAGCAGGTTTACAAGGTCAAATATCCCTTTACGCAGATGATACGTGTTTATTCTACTTTGGAAACAATATATCTCGTATCATAACACTAGCTCAAGAAGACTTAAACTTACTCCGTCAATGGTTTCAGTATAATCTCCTAACTATTAATGTAGCCAAGACTTCATATATAATTTTTAGCGCCAAGAACAAAAAACTCCCTAACCAAAACCACCTTACTTTGACTATAAACGGAGAAACGTTACAGATAAAAAATCAAGAAAAATACCTTGGACTGTTTCTCGACAGTAATTTGACTTGGAATGCACATGTCACACATATTAAAAACAAACTTTCCTCTCTCGTTGGCCGCCTTCACAAAATAGTTCGATGTATTACGAAAAAAGCCCGAATCCTAATATATAACTCTCTAGTAAAACCTCACTTACTTTACCTTGTAGAGGTATGGGGTAATGCAGCCAAAACCAATCTTAAGCCTCTCCAAGTGCTACAAAACCGTATCATAAAAATTTTGTATAACTATGACTTTTTAACACCAAGAAATACAATATATAAGGAAACTAAACTGTTGAACGTTACTCAACTTTATACATATAGCACAAGCATACTAAATATATAAAATAAAACATAAATTAATCCAAATACAATTCAGGTTTTTAACAAAGAAGCAAACAAACAAATACATAACACGCCGAGCTAGTCACCTTGTATTGCCATCTATAAGAACAAACTATGGTAAAAATAATATAACGTATAAAGGAGCACAGTTATACAACAAACTACCTAAATTTGTAAAGGAGGCGAAATGTTTTCAAACGGAAGTTACTTGCCTACCTATATTTACAACAGCTAAATACCTAACCTTAATCGTTATTAAATAAAAATAAAAAAACATTATTAAACTTGGACCACCACCTTATAGTTTGAATAAACAACAAAGATATTCGCTTCTTAAAACCGACATCTAACAAAGTTATTTATACCCGCACTAAAAATTGTTATTACTAAGTTCATATAGTTATTGTTCTCATGTAAGTGACTATTGTCTTATTGAGAAATAAAGATCTTTAAACCGAACAATACTTGTGCTATGATTTTTTATTTTTCTCACGAAGTATCCTTACCTTTACAGCCTGTCAAAGTTCCACAGCTGGACATAGATTGTGTCGTAAGGCAGGTGGTTTCGCGCCTGCAGTGTTTTCTTTATTAACCTTTTGAGCGCCAAAGTCGTCTATACGTGACCAGCACCCGCGTGCCCTGAGCGCCAACGACGTCTATAGATGACAAAAAACCCGGCCCATAAAAATATGAAATATAGACATTGGAAAATTATTACTGGTATTTTAATTCTACACCCCTCAAAAAAGAATAACCCAGCAACATGTGAGTATAAAAAACAAGTCTTCTAGAGCCACAAGTACTAAGAAACATTGAACTAAAAAAAATGGATTTTTATCTAAGCAAATACTATGTCCAGCACGCCAAAGTCGTCTATGTTAGACCGCTAGTGTTGTAATGCGTTAGCCATAAATTTATTGAAAACTATTCAAAATTAAGCTCAAACGTGTTATTTTTTTCTATTATTATTGATATTTAAATAAAACAAAAGGTTAGAAATATAAAACTATAATTAGCTACATGAATTTAAAAAAAAATAACAAATTATTTTCGCATAATAAATCTAATATCTCAACTCTGGCGCATCCTTAGCGCGACATCGAAAATCAGTTCACTGGGCGCCGTGGTCAAGTATCTAGACGACACACTGATGACGTCATAAGCGATTAGCGGGAAAATTAGTGCAGTGCAACATGAACGATTCCTCAGAACTCATTCGGATTTTGGAAAGCGTCGACGATGATGAATTTTCGGAAATTTAAAATTATCGTGAAACCAAAGTTTTTCGTTTTCGATTAACTCTACCTCAATGAGGTAGGAATACACTTTATAGTCTTTTTACGGTTAATTTCTTTTTTATAGCATAGGGTAATAAACGAGCACACAGTCCACCTGATGGCAAGTGGTTGCTGTGGCCCATAGACATTTACATCTATCCTCGATTACGAATCGAAATGCAGATGCGCTCTCACCCGTGAGGACTTAGATGGAATGCCTCGTTTCCAGTAAAGAGGGTCTCCGGTTCTCTACACTTACCATACGAAACACAGCAGCATTAAGCTACTATTTGATGCCGATATTCCGTGAGAGCGTGGTTCTTCCCCGGTTGAGCCGACCCATTCGTGCTACAACTACTAACTCCCGTAATATAACTGCAGCATGACTCTACCACGTTAGAAAATTTGCTTTGACCAGCTAAACATTTATGTTTTATTATTCCATAAGATTTTTATTATTTTAAGACTAATATTACCTATAATTTATTAATTATTTTTAATTGTTGTTTTCTATATTAAGTACTGATTGAGTTAAAGACCAAGATTTTAATATTTTATGACTAGATCTAGTGCAAATAATTATTTACAATTGTTGAATAATTGTGTACCCTTTGTTGATTTCTGTAATAAGTACTGATTTTTTTATTCCATGACCAAGATTTTAATATTATAAGACTGATTTTTCTAGTGCGAATAATTACCTATATACAGTTGTTGATTAGTGAATAATTACGTACCTTTTCTATTTTAATAATATAAAATTACAAATAATAAATGTGTTTTCTTTACTTAAGGTATGAAGAGCAATTTTCATTTTGTGTTGTGCGATTTTCTTTCTCAATCTCAAAATCATTTAGCAACATCAGTATCATATGAAACCCCCTTTATCATAAGAGCGTAAGACTTTTTCTTGTGTGATTCACTTGGCCTACGCCTTGCCATAAAATATTTTGAATAGATGTCTGTATATTTTGGTTACATCGATTTTGAAATCGATACACAACGTGCGACACGGCTACATCTCTAAGAAAGTTTCAAAAAGAAAAGTCAGCTACGCCGTTGTCGTCCAGTCGTGACAGTGACGTCATCACAACGGAGAGTAGTGTTGTGGTTTACTACTATTTTATTGTTATTGTTTGTTTTTTATTTATGTACAAAGTACATATATAAAAAGAGTGGAAGACAGCACAAGATTAAATAAAACATACCCGATTATAAAGACTCATTTATTGTATAAAAAACCAACAAAAAACAAGTTATTTTGTGTTATCGATATATCAACTCTTGGCAGCACTGTTTTTTTCGTAGGTATTTTTGTTTACTTTTCGCTTTGGCGTACAGGACACGGTAGTGAGTTTTTGGCGTGGCGCTCAAAAGGTTAATTATTGGGAACACGGTGCTGCCCATCACCTGGCTGGTTTCCCTCTGTCGTCT